TGCAGAAATGACCTTTTCTAGCAATGCAACGGATCTTAGGTGAGCGGCCTAAGGTCATCATGGTCCTCTTGGTTTATGTATAGAACTTATTGATCATTAAGACTAAAAATTCCATTGCCTACTGGATACAAGTAAATGTCCATTTATTCTTATTCTAGTTCTTTACAAAATTTGCTTTGAAATCTTTTCTTTAATCAAAAGTATTATATTCATGCTATAACAAATAGCAGAATATTATCAAAGTGAGTACAACGATGAAATGTTTATTTTTCATTTACGTTTTTTTTCTCTATTGAATCTGTCACATTTAGTCACGTGGTTATTTCAATGTGTAGGACGTTTCCCCCTAAATGTCAACATGTCATTTGATTCACTTAGGACGCCTACACATCACCGGGTTGTGATGTTAATAAAAAATACGCTTTAAAAATAAATAATTAAACATACATCTTGCTGCTTTAGAAGGTCTAAGAAAATCTCCGATCAACAGGATACAAGTTTCATGGCAAAGATAATTGGCACAGTGAAGATAGATCTATGTGCAGACTTCATTACAGGAACAGAATCTTTGTCAGTTATTTTTCATCATATGGTGCTTGAAAACAGTAGAATTGTTCACCTTGTGATAAAAAAAGAAACTTTGCCCATTGGTAAGTCAAAGCACTTAAGGTAAACTAGGCTTTTATCGATGAAAAAACTATTTTTCACTTTAAACAGTCTCTATTTTTGGCATGTGATAAACAGAATATGATATTCTTGTAGGTTCATTACTTAATTTATTTAACCTGTTGAATAAAATAATATTTTGCTCGTTACTATAATTTTATTCAACTCGTTTAATAAATTTGGTAATGAATTTTTACTCATTCAATATCCTCTAATTATGACAATCATGTGCACGATTTTACTCCCGAAGTTGTAAAGACTAAAATGAATGTTTAACACAATTTAATTTACAACCATTCAGAAATTCCAGTTTACTATTTAGATAGACCATCTAAATTGCTTCTGAAATTATATTTCGAGAATATGAATAGAAAATTCTCCCACGAAATTAAAAAAAAAGTGATTGAAACGACAAATTGCATGACATTAAAAAGGCGGCATGAATACCATTTTAACCGAAAGTATGGGCGGTCACGTGCGCGTGCACGTGATAATCTGAAAATGTTTTGAGCGTAGGAGAGAGACTCTTGCGGTTCTAATTAAAGTTATTTATTTTAAAATAGCCACATAACACCAGAACGATCATGATCAAGGATATAAGGTTCCACTGATTTAACAAATATGACCTGTAATTGGCAATTTAATATAAATGTTTAACCTTTATTTACAATTTACATGCATCATGATGATTAATTGTGTAAAAAAAGATTGCACTAGAAACAACATGTATTGTTTTCGTATATATTTGTGATAATATTTTTTCAACAATCAGATGAAATGAAACATTCATTGGAAAAGATATTAATGGAAAATAGCTAATTTTCTGCACAGTTAAAAGGAAACCTGCATTTTGAAGAGTCTTAAAAACTATATAAATACAATTTCGACGACTATAAATTTATCAACACAAAAAAATATGCAAAAGCTGTGTACATCAAAATTATTTAAACATATCGTCACCACCATCATTGTCATCGTCGCCCTTGTCTTCTACTTTTTTTATTCTTCATCTGCATTTTCTGCATCATCATCATCATCATCATCATCATCAAAATCATTATTATTTTTATCACAATTACTTTTTTTTATTGAAAGCGTAAGATATTTATTACAACTGAACAATCTATTTTTCATTTTATCACATGCTTGCACATGACATATTCAGAGTATATAAACCAGTCTACTTCCTGTACTCACAAGAAAGATACAAGTTAAAATGTATTGGCTCCCAAGAAGGGTACAGTGATCGGAAGTAACAAGTGCTTGTACTCGCAAGATCGGGTACATATTTATTTGAATAGGCTCGCAAGACTGGGTACAGTGACTTCGTTTAAATACTGTGCTATTATTTTAATGAAATCATGTGATGTACTTGTATCGGGTGCACGTTTTATACATTAACTCTCATTGCTATTTTTATTTTCCAATACTTTTAAAATCAGACGTTCATAAAATAATTATTATATAATAATTTATTATCATTTTTATAATTATTTTGCTTCAGAAATCTTAGAAACACCTAACGCTTCCCAATTTTCAAAATCATATTGATGTTAATGTAAATTACGTATAAAATATACAGAATTGACAGAAAATACATTAGGAAGCTCAAAAATTGCTTATAAGACACAAAGCTTATATGTATGGCTGATTCTCCCACGAAACAACAAAAAAATCTTAATAAAACAAAATTGCAAGGCGGAAAAAAGAATTATGCGGAAAAAAGAATTATAAGCAAATGTTAAAACAAAGGCGTGGGCGTTCACGTGTGCATACACGAGATAATTTTGTAGCGTAGGAGATTATGCCATTTATAGGAAAACATCTTGCGGTTCTAATATTATGGTGATTTAATATTGCTGAGAATATAACCTATGTTATATTTATGTCTGGAAGGCTATATTCTCCTGTATATCCCGTCAGTACTTGTATAACGTATTTATTATGAATCAAATTGTTAAGTTCATAGGAAAAACTGTTTTCAAATAAATGCAGGTAAAGGACACAAGTTAACAACGGCTATTCTAACGCTGGGCAATAAATATGTAATATGTCAAGTATAAAGTCATCATAGCGATGTAACTTTTTAATTATTTATTTCAGAGTTATGTTGTTATATTTTTCGGGTCGTTCGGGATCATTGATTTCAGCACTATTAATTAAGTGTTGAGAATTGAGTATCGCTCAAGCCGGTGCTAGGGGACATGAGGGATGTTGCACTTATTCATTATCCCTCATGTACAGACTCAATCAATCCGAGTCTGCAATTTTCATGTAATTTTTGTTGTGATTAATGCTTTCGAGGGATCACTTCGTTTCCTGATTTTTATGACATTTGATTCGAGAAAAGCGCCATAAAGAACAAAACTTGTATGCACACACATCGGTGACCATCTGTAGAAATACGTTGCTAAATATGCGCGCCTCAGTTCTTTACAGCAAATACGGCATAGTATACAATGCGTCTTTTAAATTTATATGCATTATTATACATGTATATAGACTACATTCTTTCATTTTTACATGCACATGTACTTATTCGATAAGCATTTTGACCATTGTCATAATTTGAAATGTTTTAAAATCTTTATTGAATTTGGTTGATGTGGATTCTAAATAAACATATGAAAAATAAGGAGTGTATAGATATATAGGGGTATATAAAGGGAGAAGAAGATAACAGAAAAAAAGTAAAAATTATATGAAAAAAGAAGTAATAGATAAATAAATAAACATATAAAGAAAATAATATATAATTTGCTCTTTTCTATCTGTTACAAACTACACAAATGTGCTCCCTTTTCACTAGCGATTTACTTATTTCTTTCTGATTGATCAGAGCAAACAAACACATAAATATGAAGAACCTTAAACCAAATTTCTCCTACCCCGGCAATAATGAAGTACAGATTGATGCATACGTTAAACTAAAGTTCTGTTTTAAAGAGTGCCGTGCTCTTTTCTTAACGCCTTATTGTTTGTTTTCTAAAAAAGGATTGTTTGAATTTTTAAAAAGAATACTTCCAAAATGCTTGTATGAAATAAATGTGGTCATTTATTGCCTTAAAAGCGAATGGCTCATGCACAAAAATCATTGCTAAACGGATAAAACCCTACTTAAAATTTGCTTCTGTTTACGTTCAATATTGATGTGTTTTAAATAACAGAGGCATTCTATGTTACAACTTTTTCGAGAATCAACCATATAATGATGGAACCATTGTTATTTTACAGTTGATAAATTTTTAAAAAAATTTCATTTGATATAGATTTATACTCTTTAAAGAATGTTCGGTGACAGCCAAAAATTTAGAAAATTAAATCAACGAAATGATAATGAGTGTAAAATGTATATTATTGTCAGTTCAAACACAATTATTTATAAATGATAACCTTTGAAACTGTTCTGAAAATGATTTGTTATAAACGCTACAATAACTTTCCCCCTTATAAAATACAAAACTGGTGAGCCCCATTTCAACAAAGATCATAAAAAGCCTATTAGCTAGTCATATAGATTAGACAAAACGGAAAGGTCAACTTTGTTTTCCAAGAAAATGTATTTTCTATATTTTGCATCTCTTGTATGTACCTGGCATTCTTTGATTATTATGTGAGATACTTTTACATGATTGTTCTTAAATGCCAAACAATTTATTGCTTGTGGCTGTCAAAAAAGAAGTAGAAATCCGTATGAGTCATAAAGTTTTGTTACATTAAAACAACATTTTTCGTTTTGATAAGACTAACTAACCTAAAATAATTAAACAATCTTGAAATGTTTTGTTAGCAGTGTGGCTTTAAACAAATTTTAAACCCATGTGGCATGGTTGACATGTAATAGAAAGAACATCGTAACACACGTGTTGCCGAGTGTTTTGATGTTCATAGGCAAAAATAAAAACACGTTCACTGTCGTTACAATATTTAACTCTAGAAAAAAGTAACCAATGTTCGAGCATCTGAATATGACTTCTCAATCGTTATCTCTTTCCCTGTCGTCGCAATTAGTAAACGCCCTAAAAGAAAAATAAGCCAATCAACGAGGCATGCGCTAGTAACTAATACCTGCACTCCAGTTACCTCACTATGCATGTTTTGCATTTTTGTATACGATTTAGCTCTGGTAAAGTTTTCAAAACTATCATACATATATTTAAATTGCACTTACAGTAATAATGAGTCGTTATGTCGGCACTGTATGAGGAGGTCTTTATGCCATGACTATTGCAACAAAATGTACTATTTTGCATTTATACGTAGTACATGGTACCAAAAATTTACTTTTGATATCGAAGGATCATAAAACAACAACAGATTAGGCTGACAATTAATGTTTTTTAGCTTTTTAATAGACATAGACATTGAACAATTTATCTTAACATAAAATGTTTTAAATATATTATTTGCTTTTTCATTTTTTATGATATTTGAATAATTGTGATAAAATTATGCAATGAGCGATTTCCATGTACTAAACATTCTCTAGTGAACAAGTTTTACAAAATTAAAGAAAATGAAATAAAAAGTAGTAAAAGTTTCAGCTGCATCCGAACCCACTACCTTCAAACTGAAAGTTTGCACCTTATCAATGATGATAGTTAACAATTCTGCTAAGAAATAAATAACCGTTATGCCTAACTTAAAATCAATATCTACTAAAACAGAATATTCAAACATCTTAGGACAGTTTTACCAAATATATATTTTGAAAAAAGTATTGCAAAAATATCCTTTGAAATAATATTATTAAAACACAATCGTAAAAATCCTGACTTTGCTTCGCACTGTTATTTCATTAATGAAAAAAACTCGAACGACGACTATATTCGCATGTTTACAATTGAAAAGAATGAATTTAAATTACACTTCTGAAATGTTCAATCAAGCGTTTTACAAAATATGCAAGATTTATTAAAGTAGTTCCGGACGTACATGATAGAAGAGCTTAACTTTTATTGGACAATATTAAGCCTTTGATAAAATCTTTTTTGGGATAAGACTTGACCTTTTTCCGTTGAGAAAGGACTTTCTAGTAAATAATGCATCTCGTCGCCAAGACTATTTAGAATAGATGAATTAACATCACACCCTGACGGAGTATCGGGTGCTGTTTTGATTTTATTAACCCGTTGTATATCTGTATTATTAACAAATGCTTCTTTATTATTTTCATTCCATTTTGAACGTAAAGAAGGAAACTGACATTGTATAGAATGTTTTTCTTGTGACATTTGTTTGGAACAATCGGGAATGGAGACTGTTTTTGAGATAAGTGAATTGGCTGTTGAAAGTCTTGAGTTTTTGAACGAATTTTTATTTGAAAAAAAAATAACACATAAAAGAAATATTTGTAGCAGACACGTTAACATATTTTAATAGATAAAACAATTATAGTACAAAGTAATCTATTATTTATAATGTATGTTCAAACTGGAAAGAACGTAGACATACGCTCATTGGTTGAAAATAGAGTTCAATCATATAAGAACATATGTAGAAGAATGCAATTAATAAATTTACAACACCAATTAAAAATTATATTCAGAGAGTTATTATTGAAAAAGCATAATCTTATTAAAGTGTTATATGGCATAATTGTTTTCCGACTTTATAGCAATGACTACCTACTGATAAAAGTAGATACACAAAAGTATACTTTCATTTCAGATTTTTGTGTCACTGTACACTTCAAGCTCTGTGATTTGCAGATACTCGCCGTTTGTTTCTAGCATTATCTTTAAGTAACGACCTCTAACTGGGTTCTCAAATCGGAATGTGCAGTCTACACCTATGACCGTCTTATGAGTAGCAACTGTTATAAACGTGGAGAGCTTGTCCTCGACTTGGACGATGACGTTCTTAAGTCTGTATGCTGGAACAATAAGTCAGTTTCGTTAATTACAATCTACGTTATAGTTAGAAAGGCACTTAGAAAGCGCTTATGAATTTTAAAACATGTAAATGTGTCCAGTTTTAAATTAGCAAACTGTTTATAGTTCCAGTAATTTCACACAATATCATTACAAACAAGTTCACGTAAAATGATTGTAAGTGTAGGTTTCACGTGTATTTAATAATCTCATAAAGCTTTTCACACGAGAATAAATTATTTAAAACTAAATGCAAAACTGTAAGTTATAATTACTTAATAATACAAAGTACATGTATACCTACCGTAGTCTTTACGGTTGTATATATAGATAGAGTGTATTGTATATGAATGTTCTAGATCAACTACTGCAAATGGATCTTTCTGATGTTGTGTTATTGCGATATTATTTCTGTCAAAGTTACCATCTACCTAGAACATATAATAATTACATCTTGTAAAGAAATTTGTCACTTATTTTTGTATTACTAGGGATAATAAAAAAATTATTTCTATTAAAAACTATTATAATACATTAGAAATATAAATACATAGTGTTCATTGTATGTCTTAGAAAGCTATTTTGTATACTTGATGCATTATATACTTTATATACTCGTAAGTATGAAATGTTAATTCTATACATTATACGATTTTATTTTTGTAATTTGTTGTCGTACAATTAAGATCTACCAAATCCTATTATCATCACGATAAATTTATGTTATGCATTATGTACTATATATCTGACATTCCGCTATGGGTTCGAATACCGACATAGACTTTGAACACTTTCAATTATGGATGCTATCTAGCTTGCATAGGGAATATCGTTGGTTCTACACAGGTGACTTGTCATGCCTAAAATAATAATGTATGCAGGGGGTGTGGGCCTATGGGGTCGTCCTTTACCAACATTTTTTGAATGTCTCAATACGGAATCGAAACTATAAGCGTGACTTAAATTCCCAAAAATATATCATATATGTAACAACCAGAAACTAAAACAAAACCCAAGGAAACGCCGGATGAAAAAAATAAGTTAGGCTTCATCCACAAATTACCATTTTTGGGGCGTTGTATGTAGAAGAGTACGTTGATGAACTGGGTTCTCAAATCGGAATGTGCAGTCTACACCTATGACCGTCTTATGAGTAGCAACTGTTATAAACGTGGAGGGCTTGTCCTCGACTTGGACGATGACGTTCTTAAGTCGGTATGCTGGAACAATAAGTCAGTTTCGTTAATAACAATCTGCGTTAGAGTAAGAAAGGCACTTAGAAAGCGCTTATGAATTTTATAAATTGTAAATGTGTCCAGTAAAAACATGTATAGCAAACTGTTTAGAGTTCCATTGATTTTCACACAATGTCATTACAAACAAGTTCACGTAAAATGATTGTAAGTGTAGGTTTCAAGAATATTTAATAATCTCATAAAGCTTTTCACACGGGAATAAATTATTAAAAACTAAATCTAAAACTGTAGGTTATAAAATAAAATAAAAGTAAACCTACCGTAGTCTTTACGGTTGTATATATAGATAGAGTGTATTGTATATGAATGTTCTAGATCAACCACTGCAAATGGATCTTTCTGATACTGTGTTATTGCGATATTATTTCTGTCAAAGTTACCATCTACCTAGAACATATAATAATTGCATCTTGTAAAAAAATCTCACTTATTTTTGTTTCACTAGGGATAATAGAAACATTGTTTCTATTAAAACCTGTTTTGATATATAAGAAATATACATGTAAATACTTAGTATTTATTGTATGTCTTAGAAAGCTATTTTGTATACTAGATGTATTATATAACTTATATAAGTATGAAATGCTAATTCTAATACGATTTTATTTTTGTAATTTGTTGTCGTACAATTAAAATCTACCAAATCCTATTATAATCCCGATAAATGTATGTTAACTTTATGTACTATATATCGGACATTCCGCTATGGGTTCGAATACCGACATAGACCTTGAACACTTTCAATTATGAATGCTATCCAGCTTGCATAGGGAATATCGTTGATTCTACACAGGTGACTTGTCATGCCTCAAATAATAATGCATGCAGGAGGTGGGGTCGTCCTCTACCAACATTTCTTGAATGTCTACATATGGAATCGAAAATATAAGCGTGACTTAAATTTCCACCAATATATCATATATGTTACAACCAGAAACTAAAGCAAAACACAAGAAAATGCCGGATGAAAAAAATAGCTAGGCTTCAACCACAAATTACCATTTTTGGGGCGTTGTATGTAGAAGAGTACGTTGATGATAGTGTGACCTTTTTGCCGAACGCAACGTTTTTGAAGGTTTCATTGTAGGTCGGTTTCTTCGTACACGTTGATACTACAAAACAACACAAGACATTTTTATGATAATGTTTCTAGTAGATTTCCATTTGCTCTTAGTATTAATGCCCTCACAAATAATAAGCATGAAATAACCTACCTTAATTTTTTAATATATGAATATTTTAAATGTCTCTACAAGCTGTCACGGAAAAATGAATTTACTTTTTGCAGATTACAAATTTCACCGATTTGAGATTATTTGATTATTTACTTAAAACTACAGAACAAAAGGGGAAGTTTTTTTACTTTTTGGGTTTTCAAGAAAGTATTTATACAATATTTGGGGAATTAACTTAAACAAAAGATCAAAACAAATAATGAATAAACATTTTACCAACCAGGTGCTATACATTTCAAGGAGCTTGACCATGTTCCATCATCTAAACATGTTGAGACATAATTTCCAGAGGTTCTGCATGTATCACAACACTCAAAGATTGCGAATGCTTGGAAGGTGACCCCACTAATGAAAGCAAGTTTTCCGTTTGACGGTGCAACCGGATTTCCACAAGAAACTTTGTTGCATGATGGAATTTCAGTCCAACCCGAATTTTTGTTGCATGTTACAAGTTTTAGACCTGAGGACTCATAGCCCTTGTTTCATTTAACGTTGTAAGTAATGTTTAAGGACACCGTTTTGTAGGGTAGGAAGAGATCTACAAACTAAAAATGAAAACCTCTTTACGGAAACGAATAGCCTATAAATTATCAAACAAAATGAAAATTGTTTTCATTATCATTCATACACTTGCTAAAATATGTATGTTTGTTCATTGATATTGAATCATATTACTGAACTATATATATTAATATAAACCAATTTTTTTATATTCATTTATAAATTTATTATTTATTTGATGCTATGTTTTGATACGATAATTTTGGATTTAGAACAGTATGTTGCATATATCTCACAGGTCACGTGACATTTATCGATGATTTGATTAGTCCGGTAAGTTAGAACAGTCTAATTATCAATACATACTAAATTTGTGGAGATAGAACAGGATGGTTTCGTTGTAATTTATTTATGAAGCTCTAAAGCACTAATATAACATGCCAAGGAGATAGAACAGTCCATTACGGACAAAATTGTGTATTTAACTTGTTTTTTGAAAATTTGGAGATAGAACATTACAATTTTCAAGCGACGAAATGTGTCCCTAGCCCCATGCCCACAAAGAAAAGATCCGAATCAGGATCAAATGATCCTGAAATGATCCTGATTTTATTAAAACTAAAAAATAAAACTGATAGTATTATGCTAAAATTTAATGATACATATTCGAAATGTAAACTATTGCTTATTTGCCAAGAAACCAACCTATTTTAGGGTAAAATCAACAAAGAACAAAACAAATACAGAAATAATCGGATCAACATGAGGATCAATTTTAGGATCAAGATCAAAATTTGGATCTGTAGAATGCCTATATCTTGTACAATAACAATAAATGTATTCTAAAATTTCATAAACATGCTATTTCAAGTCCAGTTTTATCAAGTTAATATTGAATATCTAATCTATGAGAATAAATAATGGAGAATATTTAAGTTTTTAAATTTGATCCTTATCTTGATCCTGACCCTTAAATCTTTTTGATAATTATTTAAATTTAAAGGACACTTTGTGCACTGTTACAGTTCCCAAAACATTACTCATTGACCATATACGTGAGCAATCATTTACTGTCTTTGCGTTGTGTCAGTAAGTGCAGTTAATCAGTGAATTTGTATTCTATACGAAAGTTTAGATGCCACTTTCCAAACTCCTCGCAGCGGTTACTTCCCCTGATCTGTACAGTAACCACTGCCACCACAAGTAAATTCGGTCGAATATAGCCGGATATATTTTTTTCACTTTTAATTTTAAAATAGAATACTTAATATCATTTTAGTTTTCTTTCGTTAAATAGTTATGCTTAATGTACAAGAAAGTAAAAAATTATACGTTTAAAAATTATTTTGTAAACATAACGAAAGATATTTTCACTGTGACACCGTATGCATAGTAACAACCAGTAAACAATGGCAGAATATAAACAGTTATTGAACGATTGCACAAAAAGATTTGATCCGGCACTTGTTTTAAAGTGATAACAAATTGTGTGTCTTGAACTTATTTTGTCTGGTAAGGATGTAATTATAAATCTGCCAGTTTGATATGGGATCCTTGGCGTTCTGAAACTGGCCGCCATGTTTTTGTCACATGATACAACTATCATCACGTGATTTCAGTGGTGGCAGTGGTTAAAGTAGCAAAGCGTGACGTAACCGCTGTGAGGAGTTTGGCCACTTTCATGACTTTTCTTACATTTTGCTATCTTTATCCAATCACAAATTTCAAATTCAGCGCTATTTTCTAAAGGTTATAAATATTTCACATGTTCTACATCCATATTTAAACATTGTAAAACACATGTTTGCCATTTCTAAAGTACAAAAATAATAGTGTCTCATGATAATCAGTTAGTGGCATATCTAATGTCCAAAAAAATCAGTAAAAATTCCCACAACTGCCAACATGTTAAATTTATCAGATAAATCAAAGACAATCATTACTATCAGTTAATCTACATGTCTTATTTGTGTGTTATATAGTAAGAAAGATGTTTAAGATACGTAGTTATGTGTAAAACTTAATATATTTTCAGTAACTAGATAACTTCGAACTTATCCCCAATATGCTATATGAAAGTCTTGATAATAAAAAGTAAACCACCAGTCATTCAATCATAAGAACATCCAGTATGCCGTTGACCCGTATTTTCTGGGGTTTAATGTTTTAAATTAAAGCCACCGTTTTTAAATTAATAGTAAATGGAAGACAAAAAACATCAACAGTGAGTAAAAACTATGACAAACAAAAAAGGAACCGTTTAAAATACGAAAATAAACTATTTCAGTAAGAAATACTAATCTTTCCTATTTCACTATCGGTAGTCTGTGTCGCTCGGAAGCTGTCTCATATTTTCGGGGATTTTGATTGGATGGCCTCGTTTCGGTAATTACGTTGCGCGCGCACAAATTCTATACTGCACTCAATATATTTCGGGACATTGGTTTAAGTTAGGTATAAGTTCGGGTGATGAATTTTAAGGCGAAGATACGTGTTTTGTTCTTTTTTGTTGCTGTGTAGTTGAAAATAATGTATAGAAATGAGAAAAGAAAAATTATAATTGTAATAACATTGACAGATTTATATCTATGTGTTTAATATGTTTAGTACGAATTCTTATGGTAGTAATTTATAGAAATAAGTGTCGGCGAAAACTTGATGCTTTTTTGGAGAGTCCAATCAATCGCACAAGCTGTCATTCACAACTGGACATGACGCCACGAAAATATGAGAACCCCCAAAAATATGAGAACAAGGCATACATACAATTTATTTTAAGATAAATATATAAAAAAACTACATGTATAAGCACAAACAGTATTTCTGCTTGATTAAACATACCTTCACAAAATTGTTGGAAACAAATTCTATATTCGTCAGCGTCTCCAAAACAATGATTTCCATTCCGTAAAGGGTATGGATCTGAACAGTTCCTGTAACGCTTCTGCATGCCTAACCCACAAGTAACCGGACATGCATTCCACTTAGACCAAACTGTCCATCCACCATGAACTAAAAATGAAATGTCATACAGCTTATTTTTAATATCTATGTACATATATTCGAAAACAAATAATACTCAATTTTATTGTCATGCGTAACGGGAAAGTTATAAAAAGTGACATTCTTTTAGATTTGATCGGAATATAATTCTAACCTGGACAAGATTGTCGTTGACAGGTTTTTGCGTCGGTCTTTTCTCCTTCACATTCCAAACCTTGGTAGGCCGGTGCTGGATTTGTGCATGTCCTGAATCTAGTATGCTTACCATTACCACACGTGACATCACACTCTGACCACCCCGACCAATTCGCCCAGTTACCATCAACTATTTTTGGTAAAAGATCATTTCATCATTTTAAGAAAGTTACAATAAATATCAAAAATGTTCCATCAATTGTTCCAGACAGATGTTTACTTTTTATTTAAGATTTTTATTTATAGATAAACCCAATTTATAAGAATGTCTATAAAAAAAAACAATATCAGCACATTTACCTAGTAGGCATAAATTACAGAATTTAGGACATATAAGTTTGGCATCGTGTACGTTAAAACGCTCATTAAATTCATAAATTAAACGAGATTTACCAGGGAGTTAAAGTTTAAAGTGACATTATGTCCATTAATGTGTGAACAGGTAAAAATTAAAATAACTTCAAATTTTGCCATAATTGTGTTAAATTTTATATTTTACTATAAAAAATTCAATAATCCATGTGACCAACGGAATGTCTATAAATATCAATCAGAATGTATCGGTAACTTCCAATTCTTAAAAAGGCAACCTTTTTTTATAAATTAGGTGTCCTATACATTTTTCATTATCAATTCTTATTCAATAACCATTAAAAAGACCAATCTTTTAAGATATATGACCAGTTCATATATGAGAGTTGAACATATATGATCATATCAGATTACCAAGAAGACTTTCATTAGTACATGTATTCATATGCAAAATGCGACAATGGCTTATTAATAAGAGAGTGATAATCAGGTGGGCACTTGGGCATTTAATCTAGTAGCAGTAGAATAATGATTGAACTTCAACTTCCAGGTAAGTCTCTCGTTTAAATAATTAATTCTACTGCCCTTGACCACTTAGTGTAAATGAGAGTTAAGAGACCACATCCATTGTCATTGTCGTCATTGTCTTCTACTTCTTCTTATTTTTCATCTACATTTAATTCTTCTCCAACATCATCAGCATCATAATCATCATCATTTTTATCACAATCACTTTTCTGTATTGCAAGCGTAAGGTATTTAATAGAATCTCACAAACTATTTTTCATTTAATCGCGTGTTTACATATAACTTGTTTATTTTAATGACTTAAGCGGTTTTACATTTTATTCATTAATTCCATAGCTTTTTCCTTAATTCCAGTACTTTTAAAATTCAGACATTCATAATTAATCACTTTGCTTTACACCTATCGCTTTCTAATTTTGTAAATCATATTGATGTTATTATAATAAAGTAAATTACATTTTAAATGTACACAATTGACAGAAGTCAGATGATATATTGTAACAAGGTAACTTGAGAACACTATATTAAGAAACTCAAAAATTGCTTACAAGACATAAAGATAATATATATTGATAATTCTCCCACGAAACAACATAAATTTAATATTACAAAATTGCAAGGCGGATAAAAGAAATATCAAAACAAACGCATGGGCGGTCACGTGTGCATACATGAGATAATTTTGTAGCGTAGGAGACTATGACAATTTTAGAAAAAAATCTTGCAAATATTTTTGTGATTTAATATAGCTGCGGTATACTGCAGTTGATCTTGTCACAATTTACGATAGCATATATTATTAGTAATACAAGTTGTTGACGGGATATACAGGAGTATATAGCCTGAATAAAAAAATATAAAACCAGACGCAAGCCTTTATGACATGAAGGCTATATTTTCCCGTATATCCCGTGTGCACTTGTATTATTTATTCAAAATAATGAAAATTGTTAATGACGACAAGTTCAGAAGAACAAAAAACAATTTCTATGAAAAATATGAAGTATAAAAATAAATAAAGATATGAAAAGTTATAAGTGGATTCTATTTCAAAGACATTGACGCGTCGGACTAGTTATCTAAGGATTGCTATCTGCGTGGGTTCGAACCCTGTAATGGCCGAACTGTTGTTTCATTGAGACTGGTTGATTCCAGGAACAGATTCGAAAGTGTGTCTTCAAGCTATAAGCTTCCAACACAATCGAACTAAAAAATCTGTATAAACCAATAAGCCAAGTCCAAACACGCTAACACTCAAGTAGAATCAGAGGAATCGTGTCATGTTTAAATTAATTTAGAAGTGTTATTTATAGAAAACTCTTCCTTGCTCGTTAGTAATTGTGATTACCTTCATAGGGTTTTAATATGTCAATTAGTCTGTAGAGTAAAATACAAAGGAGTAATCAATAACATCACTACGCTTGGTGTTTTTAAAAACAATTTGGCAATAGAATTAATCCTTTGAAACAAGTTTAAAACTGTACACAAATGAGATAGCCTGTTTCATTTATTCAAATTAACAAACTACTGTATTATTTTCATTGACAATTAATAGTTTTATCAGTAGGTGATTTAATTGATATGTGCTCGAGGGGTTTAGGTCGTTGACATCAAAGCACTTGCCCCTATGCGCTGAAGGTTCGACTCCCTCCAGGGACTTTGAATTCTTACATGTGAAGAAGCTATCAAGCTAGATTACGGAACGGGGATGGTTTAACTCTGGTGCCGCTCGTGGCCGAAATAATGACCTAATCCTTGGGTCACCTGAGGTCTTCAGCAAGTATAGCTGGAAAGTCGCCATATGACCTCTACTGCATTTGTCCTACATAAAACCCAACGGAAAATATTATAGACTGTGTTCCATTATCCCCTATGGAGGCAAAAACTAAAGTACACAAATACTATATACTACAATGTTTCTCCACTTTAATGAAAATTAAACCGAGAAGATTTATTTATATGACTAACATTTTCATTTATTTGCAATTAAATATGAGAATAAAATATCATTTCTTATTTCAGAAGACTGTTTAATATTGCGGAGCGGAATAGATTCCCACGCAACAGCAACATGTTGTTGAAATAGACAATGGTGGATTTGAAAATTTAATATAAATTCTAACTAAAGAAAAACAACATGAGGTCACATGCGCAAACTCGAGCTTGTTTTAATATATGACTTCTGTGGGAAGAATATGCAATTACAAAGCTTATATTACGGTTAAAACTTAAGGGTCCTTTATGCCCTAGAAGTACTTTATTTTTTCATCTCTGACAGGCTTTTTTTTTATGTTGTTCATTAAGCATTATCAATTAAGTTTATTTTATGATTTTGTGTTGATTACTTATATTTAAATAAAAGTTATATTTGACGATTTCAAGGAAAAAAATATCAAAATTTAATTGCTAAATTCCCAATGTGGTTATCTTACAAATAATCTATCATAGGCATTATTTAGGCCTTTTAGAAGCAAAACAAAACTAAAGTTTTTATAATAATGGAACTCACTACAATTTGTTTAATTCAATTTATCATCAATGTTTTGGTTAGATTCACGAAAGTCTGATTTTTTTTCAAATTTCTAGTAAAAATACTACATTAATACTTTGTTTACACTTCTTTACCTGTGCAGGAATTAGTTCACATTTAGCACTACCAGCATCTAACATGATCTAAGACCATTATTTAAACGTCGTAAAATTCAATTTGCCCTTTCGAAAGAAGTAGAAATTTACTCGTATATGGTGCCTTTAAAGCAATCAATGATTCGTGACTTTTGTTCACAGAAAATATATTTCTTGCCATCTACTGCTTATTTCTATAACTTATTGTTAAGCTCTATTTTTTATGAGGCAGACGTCTGATATTGGGGCTACCGTTAGAGAAATTCAAAATAAAATTGATTTTTTATTAAAACCCGTAACTAAGCGTAATATAAAAAAAAAACTTGTTTGTTAATGTGTATGTGATGTGATTATTTTTTAAAATTTTACACTAAAACAAATACATGTATCCTCTCTACTATTATGTTACAGTTACAAAACTGTTTCTTCTGTAACAATGACAGGAAATGAAAGTGAATAGTATACATCTTTTTCGTCTTGTGAATATATTTATAGACAGTGAGACAGACGCTTTTATAAGTAGTTTTCGTAAATACCAACATAGTCTGAATGAACATCATTTAAAAACATAATTTACCTGCAGGTGTTTTGTTCATAGGAAAATCCGCATATAAATCTAGCTGTTTTATTGAGAAAAAACTTACGGCAAAAAATAATATTTATAGAACAGTATATTAAACAAAAACGCGGAAACTTTCTTAAATAAGAGCAAAAAAAACTTTTCCTAAATTTAAAAAATATCAAAGTACTGAAACGTCTTGAAACAAACTCATTGAAAAGTGTATACGCCATTTACACCTTTCGTTGGTATACAAGGCATTTATAAAAGCCTTCCTACTTCCGATATCATTCTAATTAATGTCTCGTTTTGATTTTCAAGTATTTGCTTTTGTTTTAAACTGTCTAACTGTCTGTTTATATAACTGATCTAGTTTGATTTCCGAATTATTTTACACAGTCGTTTTTGATTTTCCTTATTTGAGAATCTTAATAATAACAAATTACTACCTCATTTTTCCAATACATGAAAAGCCAAGCTAACTTAAAATAGCATAGTTAAACAGTTCTGTTTTGTCCTGTGCAACATGAAAATATGCATGTGGTCCGTATGATGATTTGTATGTATTTAAAGTAAAATTGATCTATTATAAAGTTATGTACAATTTAGGCGGATTTTTTTGTATAATACCAAGAAAGTAATCAAATATGTCTTTCAATCATAAATCATAGCCCATCGTAAATTTGCATTGTTTTTCATTCCTTTATCCCAATTCCTATTTTCGTTTTTTATAATTTGTATAAGCTATAAGTAATGATGTAATGGTGAAATTCTGTAATCAGGACAAGAAACACACACGTATTTTCATTTTTAGTTTCAGCAAAACAAAGTTTCTGAAGACCTTGTTTAAAATAACTGTAAAGATGTTATTTTTAGAAACTTACTGAACAAAAAAGCTCCTCTCTAAAAAGCTCCTCTCTCGGTTCAGCAAATATTTATACAAACTCAACAATTTCACTTGATTTTCCGGAAGATATATAAATAAACATTCACGTGTACATAAACGAGGGATGTATGAATACGTTTCAGGTGTAGGAGAATTATGCCCTTTTTAAGGAACATCTTGTGGCTACAATAGAAAGCATCATATTTCTACTTAGCGAGCTATAAGCATTGTGGTTACTACAAATGATATTGGCATTTACTATCAGTATATTTTATCAATATGATTTTTTCCATTATTACTATAACTTATTTCAAGCGAATGAACGAAGAACTAAACGAAAGGTTGCCATCTTTTGTTGCAGCCTTTTACGATAAAGTGAAAGAGACATAAATGACATTTGTTTTAGATATTTTAGATTTTTTCCCATATTGATTGGATAAAAAAGAGTGTGTGAAAAGTAATATGATACTTTCAAAAAATATGCAAAAAGAGATGAAAAATAGAGAACAAGGTACCATTTCAATACGTTTTCAGTCCATTGCTTCCAAGTGAAGCTAGAAAGTCGCCAGTATTTACAGTATTGGTGCGCCCCACCCCCAGAACCACCCACCCATCCACCCACGTAACATATAGGAATTCTCTTTTAAAGATCTTATAACTCCAATTTTTTTGTACAATTTTTCTTTTTACACTGAAATGTTTGATTATATTGTGGATATTGTTTTAAAGAGTTCATTGATCGACACTGCCTATCCTCACCATTGTGTGGCACAATATTCCTAAAACAAGCTTACATTTACTACTCCCTGTAGAACACCGCAAATATAGTTTCTCAAATTATTGCTTTTTGATTCATAATAATATTTCAAAAGTAGCTTATTAGAGGATTGTATGCATTTGTAGAATATTTCCGGCTCATTATCGCAAGATAACTGACGTATTTTCTCTGCAAACTGTGTAAGATCCTAAATGGAACGCTGCCCACACGAAATAAATCAGAAACGATTTCACCGTTGCTTGCTAAAATTGCATTTGTGTGTCTTCTCTTTAAAATTTAAAATTCTTTAAGATTGCAAAGAAACATATGTATCAAAGGTATTTCACCAATCTAAACAGACAAACTCACGAAACTAATAAAACAATGTTTGAGCGAATGGAAGCATCATTTAGAATTTTATGTACTATTCTGTTAAATTTGATGGTTTCATTTGTGAATACATTGAGCTAACTTAATCACTCACAAAGGTGCATGATTTCAGATGAGTAAAACAAAACAATATCATGAAGTCTTAGTTGTTATATTTTTCTTTTTTTCAAGGTCATTGATTCTAGCACTTTTAAGCGTTGAAAACGGTGTACCGCTGAAAGCCGATGTTAGGGGGTGTGAGAGATGTTGCACATTTTCATTATCCCTCATACACAGACTAAAAGTCAAACCGAGTTTGCAATTTTCATGTAATTTTGTTGTGATCAATGCTTCATCGTTATTCCAGATTTTATATGAGCATGTATCAGCGGTCGTAAACTAAATAACCTTTTAGAAATAATTCTTCTGTCTAAAAGTTCCGGAACAATCTTTTTTTTTCAATCACAATCTAAATCCGAAAACATTAAAAAGACGAATAACATGTCAGGCTGAATTGTATAAAACCACTCGTTATTCTGACTGTCAACTTCAGCAGAAACGCCATACTCGATTCATTTTTAGATATTATAAGAAAAGAATGGTTAATAATGTAAAATATCCAAATTAAAATACAAATAAAAATAATCACTTGTTTAAAATGGTGATTAAATTTTTACTTATCATCTACTATTTGCTTAAACGCCATAACTGTTTAAATACTGGTTGTGCAGGGATACATGTACTATTATATTGCTAAATTGTGTTATTAGTAAATGTAATATTCTTTAAATTGTCAATATTTAATTTGAAAATATCACCATATTACTGTCAGCATGATTAGTTTTATATTTTAGCTTAATCATTGTATTCGTGACTCTTTTATTTATCGATACAACCACGCGAACAACATTGTCATTCTAATTCATAAGAACGTTTAATGGCTAAAACGAGCATTGTAAATAATCAATGTGCCTTTTAGAGAGCAATGATACTTTTGTGATCGAACAATGTATATGAAATAAAATATCGAATAGAGAGCATCAATTATAGCGGAATAGAATAAGAAATGATACACCACACATGTGTGTTGGTGTTCCATTTTAGTATAATTTTTTTCATAATTTCCGAACAATCATTCAAAATGACGTCAAAGCAAAAGATTATCAAAATATAAATTTGGTTTTTATGGTTAAATGATATTTTGTTTATATACACAAATGTATTTAAAGAAAGAAGAAAATGAAAGCTTGTTTATAAACATGTATAACAACTGGAAAGACTATATTCTAATATTCTATATTATTCCATATCCTGCAAAAAAAAGAAAAAAAAGAAATGAAACAACAAACAATATGTATATTTGTTTAAGTTAAAAATAAAATGGCAATAATCTAAGATAGTTTTCATGATTGGTAAAGCATTTCACCCCTCTGAATAAATACAATCATTCTACATTTTCATATTGTAAATATAAACTACTGAGCAGAATTTTCTAAAATTATCGGAAGTGATCTAGGGATTGCCATCGGTTTATTCACGTGAAGGTTTTGTTTTTCACATAAACAAACAACGACCAACGTCATCATTTATTAAGATGGACATTTATTATCATTTTAAGGATTGGATGTGCGTAGTAAAACTTACAACATTATAAAAAACAGGACACGGTTGTTAGAGGAGCTTCGTGTTTTATTAACGTCTTCAAATTCATACTTCCGATGATAAAACGTTTTACGTCCTTTGGACACATTGCTAATTACCAAAATAACGTCAATCAGTTATTTGCTCATTATGAAAGTCTGTTGTTTTTTACGCCGATTCTAAAACATTTTTGGTCATATCTCGTCGGTCGTTCCATTGAAACGACTTTTCTAGAAAGCTAGTGATAAAATTACAAATTTCTCTGTAAGTTCTGCGGACGTGACAAATATCATGAAGCCCACTGATCACACATGATTTCTGAATAGAAAATGAGAGACAAATAAGCAACGTCACGACAAAAGCAACATAGTGGGTTTGCGACCAGAATGGATCTAGACCAGCCTGCGCATCCGCGCAGTATGATCAGGATCCATGCTGTTCGCTATCAGTTTCTCTACTTGTAATAGAGTTTGTAAGCGAACAGCATTGATCCTGATCAGACTGCGCGGATGCGCAGGCTGGTCTTGATCCATGCTGGTCGCAAACGCATTATGTTGTTTTTTCATGGCGCGGCTTAAATGGCTATTAAACACTATAATGTCCAGAATCAAATGTCACAGAGAAATTTTGCCTAGCATGTTGATCGGAGCAGCAATCCCTGGGATACAAATCCGATGCTAAGTAAGCTAATTATATGCGGTTATTAAAATTGCTAAAAAACATGAAAGTAGATTAATTGAATTAATTGTTAAAAGTTTTACGACCAATAGTGAAACATTGTGCACAAGAGTTCAGGTAAAGTCAAAATAGATCTACATTTAGCCGTTTTTGTG